TCTTCAAAATAATTTTTTAATTCAAACGTGAAGTCCTTCCACGTATTACGCAATGTTTTAATATGATCAACGAACTTTTGTCCGAAACTGTTCAGGGCTTAACTTAAATTCTCAATAGCAGTTGTTTAACGTGCTTATAGTCGTTAGCTTTCTTCTTATGATTCACGGGCAATTAATTTGAGTTATTTCATAAGGCCAATAGACCCAACAGCTGAGGAAACCCAGTTTTGTTCTTCTAACCCAATACGTCGTGCCTGTCTCTCAAATAAAACTAAATAAAAACTTATATTCACCTTCATTCAAATCATACTTATGCATTAATTTACTCATATCACAAATATTACTTCTACTAACATTAGAAGGAACAGAATCATTTACATACTACTTCTGATTTCCGCTTCTATTTTCAGTTTTTCAAGTTCAAATGCTCTTTGCTTATCTTTTTCTTTTCTACAAATTTCTAACTTTTCCCTGTCTAAACGATCATTTATAATTCTATCTAGCATTTGTTTAGTAAAGTCTTCGTTATAATTCTTACTATTCAAAATCATATCTCCTTAAGCCTACAATTTTAATATCAGAAGGGACATCTACATCAAGTTCCAAAGCAAGTTCTTTTAAGTCACATTTTTTGCCGCTTGCCAAATAAGCCAATCTTAGACTTCAATTTTCAAATACTAATACAATAATTATACTTAAGTTCTTTCCGTTTAATACTTAGACATAACATAAACAGTTTATAAATTCACGTACCTTTCTACTTTCAGTTTTGGCGAGCTTCCGCATTCAGTTTAGACTTAGCGTACGTTAAGGCAATACGTTGTTAAATCTAGATAATAATTCTAGTTTATCCCACTTCTGAAATGTTAGCATTTAATTAGTTCCTTTATTAAAAACACATTCCATCAACATTAATTGCTAAATACTTGCTTTATTCAGAAACATTACCGTCAACATTACTGCTCAAAAAACATTACCGTTCAAATTATTATCTTTCTAAAAAAAAACTGTTGTTGCCAATCGGGAAAATACATTTTAAATAAAATTAATACGTTGTGTTTACAGCAAAGGCTGTCATTTCCTCGGGAAAGGTGCTATTGACTTTTTTTTTCGATCGTCAGGGGCCATTACTGATTGAATTTGCTAAACGTGGAGAGACTATCAATAGTTCGCAATATTGTGCAACGCTGGATCGGCTGCGTGTCGCAATCAAGAACAAACGACCTGGAAGATTGACGAATGGTGTGATCTTGCTACACGACAATGCTCGTCCCCACGTCGCTGATGTGGTTAAGACACAACTGGCAAAGTTCAAGTGGGACATGCTGCAACATCCTCCATACAGCCCAGATTTGTCGCCATGCGACTTTCACATTTTTGGGAACCTGAAAAAACATCTCAAGGGTACCAGATTCGTGTCGGACAACGCCGTGAAGGAGTCGGTTACAGACTTTTTGAATCGACAGTCCAAGGAGTTTCATGAGACGGGGATCACGCAGCTCATTTGTCAATGGGATAAATGTTCAATGTTCATGGAGACTACCTTTAAATAAAGTACTCTGTTTGTCATATATTCGCATTGGCTCACTTTCATTTGACTCGCCCTTGTATATTTCCGCTAGATATATTCCGCCAAGTATTTCCGCTGAATAAATAATGCTTTTGACATTTCAATATGTGCATCATATAAAAATAAACCAACGGAACTAAAAAATATTCTGCTTAGCAAGCACAGTAAAACTCTTTTAAGTGTTCATAAACAAATCTCGTAACAGAACATCAAAATTAATTATCTCTGCAAAAATATCGCAAACGTTATTGCACAATACGTGCCTGTTAATTCTTCCCTACGTGATATTACGCAATCGGAATCAACAGCTGCTCGGTATTGGGAGAATAAAGAACTAAATAAAACTGGGGGGTTTTTCATTCTAATTTTCAACAGACGGCGTTAAATTTCCGGAATAGAATCATTCTTCGCTTGGGTTGGTAGACCGCAGAACTTTTAGTCCTATTCAATCCAGATTGGAAAGTGACAAAAAAAAAAAAAAAAAAAAAAAAAAACCTTGTTTTTGCAGCGAACTGTAACAGTTTCAATATTTGAGATTTTGCGGAGAAAAGGGGAGAACCTCCCAATCTTCGCACTATATAATGTATTGGCCAAAAAAAATTAAATTATTTTGACTATTCGATTACTTTCCCTTTATTTAAGCCATTCCGAATATTATTCCTAAAAGCGCTGTGTGTTAAAAACACAACCATTTTGGAAGTTTACTATACTTCAGCAGTTACTGCAACTATGATAATATAAAAATTCATACATATACTCATAATATAAGCATAACAATCATAATAAACACGAAATATGAACTGACCAAGCGGAACGAGAATGCAAATTATTAAGATCTGGATAGAAATTCAAACATGTGTAGTATTTGGGTGGAGGAAAAGAATGCCGAATTGTACCGAAATTTTCTACTGCTTTCGCAATTCTTTGACCGATAGAACGACGGGCACCTGTCTGTACTCTTCGTGCACACCAAAGGTTATGTTAATGCAGAGAAAGGGGAAAAGCTATTTCCGGGAGTATGACTCACCATCTGACATTCCATATCAGGAAGAAGAGTTGTTTATTTAGTTTCGGCTTTGGTACGGGGGAAAATAGCGCGTTCATAAAAAAAAAAAAATGGTTAAAAGCAAAAAAATAAGCACTAAAAACAAAAAAATAAGGGCTTTAAAGAAAAAGTAAGCACCTATAAGGGCCTTTATATTTTATTTTCAAATATAAGGATTTATAAGCACTTATAAGGACCGCTACGAACCCTGATTTAGCATTGAAGGAAGGTAGGTGAAGAGGGCTGTTACCTATGAAAAAAAGCTGATATATTTTAGAAGTTGGTTCAAGCTGTTGTGCTAATGCGTAACTACTGATGATGCCATTACTATTTACTGTGAATATATATTGTGAAGGTTTATCAGAAAGCGAGAAAGCAATGGAGACGTGCGAACCATGTATTATCGCTAAATCTAGTAGTATAACTTTTAAAACCATTCCAAAGATATCAGGTAAACAATTGCAATTGGTTTATTTAGATGTTTGTGGCCCACTCCCAGTTCTATCTAAAGGTGGGAGTAAATATTTCCTCGCAATCGTAGACGACTATAGTAGATTAGTAACATTATATTGTACGAAATATAAAAGTGAATTGTTCACTAACTTTAAAAACTATCATAGACAAATGGAAAATTTGACAAGTAGAAAGTTAATTAATAAATGCAGTGATAACAGTGGTGAATTCTGTAACAGCAATTCGAAGGGTACTTAGTAGAAAATCTAAACAGAAAAGTTTCCAAAAATATCATTTAGCATTGGTTCAAAGGGGTGGGGAAAGTAAAAAGCAAAAATGCACCAATATGGTAAAGAAATGCCTCATATAGTGCCTGGTACGATTTAATGTAAAAGTACCATCTAGATGGATCACTTAGCACATTTCTTTGCGAAAAAATTAACAGTCAAATAAACGAAATAAGATTTAAAAAAAAAAAAAAAAAAGATTAACAATGATTGGCTGTTATGGCAATTCTTCTGTCATATCACAGGTTCTAGCAAGATTTACAGATCCTCGATTAATGCATATGTAGCAACTTTGACATTTTTTTGTAACCTTTATGAAAACTGCTCTGGTGTAAGTTTTAGTGCATTTTTTTTTAATGAATATGCTGAAAATTATGCCAGTTTGGAAGTTTCTCACTAGGTTTCTATTTAAAGAATGTTCTCTTGGTAGATATTCTTAATTCCTTCTCTTTACTGTATCATACTTGCCAAATCTCCCAGAACCTGAACCTAATGTTTATACTGTTTAGTGAGGAACATGTTTTTCAACAATACATGAAATTTATTAAATTAATGAAACAAATCACATTAATTTCATTCCCCTAGTAATGATGATTTTTCTTGTTAAATTCACTTTGATCTAAACTGTGTTAATCTACTGTAGGCATTTATAGAATTTTATACAAAGATTCAACAGATGTTTAGTCAGTTAATATTTATATTATATTTTGTTTTACATAAATATATATGTGTCAACTTTCCCTGTAAAAATTTTTTATGCTTTTTTCCAATTTTTGTTTTTAAAATATTCCTATTTTTGTTCTCATATATTTTTATAGCTTTAAAAGAATCCAGAAAATGTCTGTGGTGAAATAAAAAATGTATTAATGTTATTGACACAGAGTAAATACATTTTATAGCAAATTATAATACATTTTATCATATTGTTTCAAGAATAACAGAAAAAAAAATAAAACTACCTGAATTTTCTGTAGTACTTATTTATTACTTTGGCCTCTGTTGTTTTAACAACACCAAAAATCTCTCAATAAATTATGCCGGAATCTATTGAGAGTGGCACTCTTTCTATTGTGTGGCAATTTTACTCAAAACTCTTCCTGTGGTACGCACACTACAAATGGCTATGTTAAGGATTACCAGCTATTTGTGAACATCTCTGAATAAGGTTGCCACTTCGGAGCAGTTCAGTCATGTTACTCCTTAAAGTAGCTCTTTCCCCAAGATTTATACACAAAATTTAATCAAATCTCTATCACAGATATCTTCCTCACCCTCATGATAAAATGTACTGCATAGTTTTATCGGGTTCAAAAGCGTAGCTAGGGTTTTCAGCACCCGGGGACAACTGAAAATTTGGCCCCTTTTCTATGTACCAAGAATATACATTTAAATCTAAAATTTTATAACATCAATTTGGTGTCTGGATGCTGTGCCCGGGGACAGCTGACCCTCCTTGCCCCATCCTAGCTATGCCACTGACCCGGTCATCTGGAAAGATCTGTAGTTTTAAAAACTAAGATGTGTTTTCTTCTAAATATTTTGCTACTATTAATAAGGAGTAACCTGGATCCAAGCAAATGTTTAAATATGGTCTTTTCTGCTTGTATTACAAAATTCTAGCATCAATTGTGGCATAATTTTTGCTTTATTGAGGTGATAAAAATGGAGAACCCAAAAGTTCATTTTCATCAATCTTGCACTCCTTGCCACGATGAATTTCATAGGCTTGTTCTGAAGTTACTGACAGACAAGAGATATATGTCACAACAACAACAGAAAATGCAGATCATTCTCTACCTTTTCCAGAAGGGGGGACATATATGTCCTCCATGTTGACTACTTTAAATGTGTCTCAAATTTTAGTAATTGTAGAGATTTTAGTAATCAACTCTTTAATATGGAGTAGGAAGTGTAAGACCCTGTTGATTTGTTTTTCTGCTCCTTCCTATAAAAATATGTGACTAAATGGCACTAATGCATAAAAAAATTGGTCCCTGTATCCCATGGGAAAAGGTTAAAATGTATACAAGAAGAAAAAGATGATCTTCAATGTCTGAAAGAATGTCAACAATGGAATTTGATCAAGCTTCTCAAAAAAGGGAATGAAATAGACTTCTGAAAGAAAAACTGAACATCTACATTCTACGTAAACGTTTCTAGTTATTAGCTTGGTTTTTTTTAATTGTTTGTTTATTTGTTCTTTAATTATTAATTTTATTTATTAATTTATTTATTGCATTCATTTAAATTTTTAAGAGTTATTTTTTACAGTAATTATAACTTTGCTAGGTCACTTTGTATTATCTATATTTTCCTGTACTCATTCAGTAATTAAAACTTTACAGGCTCATTTTTAGATTATCTGTATTTTACGGTTATTAATGCACACTCACGCATAAATCAGCAAGAATAATCAGGAATCTAGTATAGTTGTTAATGAAAAGATTCTGTTACTTACCATATGATGATGAACTTGATGCTGTTTCATAAGCAGAGGAAGTATCATCCTCAAACACTATTTTAGTTTTAAAAGAGGAAATTGATAAGAATTTTAGAAGCCTTGAAAGCTGTGGACACATCAAATAACAAGAGTGTATTCTGCTGTTAGTTGAATACGTAATACTAAGCTCCCAGGGTGACAGTACCTGAAAAACAAATGAGATTTCTATTAACATACAGAATAAATAATGCATAAAAGGAGAAAAGAAATATTTAAAATGATGTTGCATTTTTTTCTTTTCTGACACCAGTTGTTACATTATTTTCTTCCTTCACGTTTTTTACGGGGTTCGTGTGATTTACAGTGAATAACGACGACACTTGATAAAGTATCGAAACACACTTTAATCAGGGAGCAATATTAATCAGGACAGCTCCAATAACACTTTTTACAGTCGTCGAAGATCTACTATAAACACGCTGGAACAATCAGCGGCACAGCACTGTCAGGCAATAACGGTGGAGATAGCTTCCTGCAAAGCACCCGACTCTGCTTTCCGGAGTACAGCTCCCGACTTTGCTTGGTCGTTCTCGGAACTAGAAGGTTTTCCAACCGTCCATGGTATATCGCCAATTTTTGTCTCCAAATGGGCGATTTCTTGCCAAATGTGGCAACCCTGCCCTGCTTTGCCATTTTATGGCAACCCTAAAACTGCTTTGCAGGGAAGCCATCTTACTGCGCCTGAACATTTTCTAACAATAATATCAAACATGTATTTGCTATCAATTACAATTTTGTTGTGGCAGTAATGTTATTACAAAATATAGTGACTTAACATTTCTTTGGGGACACCTGTGTTTATGAAATTTACTTTCTGATTCCTCCTATAATAAAATGAAAATTTTGCATTACTCATGCCAGTACTCAAATGAACTGCAGAACTGAAGCAAAAGGAAATCTTAGTTAAAGAGATCAAGAATCTTCATAGCTAATATAAGTTTTGTTTTTTTCTGCCAAGTTTATTTGAACTTCATATATCACTCACTAGAATCATCATTTAAAGGATTTTCCTATCTTGCAGTAATTCCATATTTTGTAAATGAACCTGAAACATCACAATATACATGTGGTTGTCATTACCTGGTACCAACCGATTTTTACTATTTTTCATTTATTTATTGACTTATTTTACTACTCATGCAATATAAATTTATTTTCTAAAATAATTATAAAGATATAAAAAATAATGTGTTTTAAAAGTAAAAATGTGTGTAGGAATCTTGAAGGTAATGATAAAAAGTACATACTTTCAGAAGCAAACCAAAAACCAGAAAAACAGGTTTTGCCATCTGTCACATACTGAACTAACAGTGCAACGTATCACAATTATTATAAACTAAACAAACTGAAAAACAGTATGAGCAATTAAAAAAAGTAATAGAGAAATTAAATTCTCTGTGTACCGTGTGAGTAAAACAGTGAAATCTCCGAAGCTGTTTATGTACAGTACATAGGTATAACACTTCAGCACCTCTTCAGCAGCAATATATTGATGGTAAAATGGTGAGAGTGGTTTTAATTTTAAAGCCACTAGTTGATTTTGACTTCTTAAGGTCTCGTGACACCCTCTATGATTCGTATAGCGAACCATTTGCTCCTGCATTTTTTAGTTAGCTATTTTAATGGCATTGTTTACCATACAGAAATTTTGAATTAGCTATTTTAACCCTCCAAGCATTACGAGTTTAGCCCTGAAATTTCTAAGTTCCTCAAAATGTATTGAATAAGCGATATTTTCTTGATTTTAATTAAAAAATGACTATCTCATTTTGTACCTTGATTCCTTTTCTTCCAATATACATGCAAACCGAAATCAGATACATTTAAAAGCTAGCAGAAATGTTCATGTATAATGAATATAGAAGACAGCCTTCTGTACGGAATTTTCCAGCTGTAACGCTGAGAGGATTAATGGCGATGTTTACCATACAGAGCATCTGTGAAGCATGTGTTCATCTGAACTTGTGTTGCCAGTAAGGACAGAACCTTCAATCCTTTGCTCTATAGCATGATACTTTTACAGATTACTTCAAAACAACTTCCACCGGAGGAATCCATAAATAGCAATGACTTTTGTTGGTGGCGGCACTTTCAGAGCTGCCTCACAACATCTTAGTTTGATAGGTGCAATATTTAGATAGACATCATGCATAGTGTTGCAAATAAGCCTGTTTTGTGCCCATGGACACAGCTGAAAGACCCCTGTCGTGCCCACATCTTTCCTGTACACTGTGAGGATAAGGCATGAGCATGTAGCTACTGTGATGCTGTTAGCTGGTTGGGTATGGCTGCAGGTGCATGTGGTTGATGCTACTGTTTGTCTGCATGTGAGGGGGGCAGCAGAGCATCTAGTCACCTAGGGTTGCCAATGCAGCAAAGGTGGTTTTTATCTTATAGCCACTACTTGACTTTTGATCTCTCCGGGTCTGGCACCATCTATGATTGATATAGTGAATCACTTGCTCCTGCTTTTTTTAGTTTTCAGTTATTTATATTAAGTGTCTGCCAATACAGGGTGATAAGACCCACGTAATGCTAGAGGCCTTGAGTGTGTTCAGAGAGCTGATGGAAGATGTGACGCAGTGAGGATGCGAGATTTCTGAGATTGTGATATTGTTCTATTTAATTAAATCAATTTATATTTTATTGATTGCCTTGATTGAAATTTTGTGTAATATTATGAACCACCATATATTCAAAACTTGGATTACCTTTGAATCTTCAAACCACTGATGTGCATTTGGTGCATCTCGGCCGAAAACCAGTAAGAGAAACTTTATTGAATTATTGAAACTGAATTATACCTGGATCGAAATTAAAAATGGCTGAAAATCTGTCATTGAAGAAGAAACGCACAGATGTGCGTTCGATGTTGACGAAATTAATTAACAAAATAGAAGTTGCTATCAACAATGAAAACGAAACAGTTGATCAGTTTGAAGCATTTATGGAACAATTAACCGGAAACGAAACGGGCTTAAATTCTTTAAATGATGAAGTTGAAAATCTTTTGAGCGTTGAGACAATATCTGGAGATACAGAAACTTCAGAAGAAATCAAAGAAAAAATAATTTTGTTGGAATTCGAAACTTCATTCTAAAATAAAGGAAATGAATTCTGATTCTATCCAAGTTGATACAGTTGCACAAAACATTCAGTTGATTAATAATGAAACTGAAAATATAAATATAAAATTGCCTAAATTGCACATTAGTAAATATTACAGTAATTATTATGGTTGGTTAGTTTTTTACAATTTATTTGAAAGCTCTGTTCATAATAATCCTAAATTAAGCAAAGTTGATAAATTTAGTTATTTGAAATCCTATCTCGGTGTTACCGCGGCAGCATGTACTAGTGGATTTGCTAAAAAATCCAATATTTCTGATCAACTCAAGGAATTTTGGGATTTAGAGAATTTGGGTATCGAGGCAGAAGTAGCTGACATAGAACCCACTGAGAAAGATATAATGAGTGAATTTGAATCCGGAATTACATATCAAAATAAGCGATACAAAGTGAAATTGCCCTGGAAACCAAATATGAAGACATTATTAGAAAATAACAAGCAGATAGCAATGAAAAGATTTTTGAGATTGAAATCAACTTTTAAAAATGACGCTTCATTATTTTGTGAATATAACACTGTTTTAAAGAATTATCTTTCGGAGAATATTATCGAACCTGTCCCAGTTGACGAAGTAAATTTACACCAAAATACATTTTATCTACCTCATCGAGCTGTAATACGTACGGATAAGACTACAAGCAAATTACACATTATGTTTGATGCTTCGGCGCATGCAAAAGGTCAGTTATCTTTGAACGATTGCTTATACATGGGACTTAAGTTTATGTCTAACCTATTTCTTCTTTTGATCAGATTTAGAACGAATCCGATAGCATTTGTTGCAGATATTAAGATGGCCTTTCTCAAGATTGAAATAGATGAAAGTGAACGAAACTATGTCAGATTCTTTTGGGAAGAAGATCCAGGAACTGATGGTGAAAACAAGATATTGGAAATTTTTTGGATGGCAAGGGTGTTATTTAAGGTAAGATCTAGCCCATTCCTCCTTGCAGCCACAATCAAACATCACTTGAAAAGGTATGTAGATGTATTTCCTCTGACTTCTAAACATCTTAATGAATCATTGTATGTCGACGATTTTATTTGTGGGTTAGTCACTCTTCAACAAGCTCTAAAGACTTGTAAAGAAAGTGTAGACATTTTTAAAAGAGGCAAGCATGGATCTTCGAAATTGGAGAACCAATTCTCCTGAGCTAAGTAAAGAATTAAAGAAATTTAAACTTCAATGTAGATCAGGGTGAAGAATCTCTAGATACCAAGTTGATAGCTTCAAAAGTTTCAAAAGTATTGGGAGTATTGGGAATTGGTTAGGATGAACAAACTGATATGTTTTATTTTCAATAACAGAAATCTGGAAACATTTCTTTTAAAAAGAACTAACACAAAAAGACACTTACTACAAGCAGTAGGTCGACTTTTCGATCCAATAGGTTTTATAGGACCATATACTATTAGAGCTAAGTACTCGATGCAAGAAATTTGGTGTTTAGGATTAGACTGGGATGAAAGATTGCCCAAATACTTAGAAATTGCAATTTCTAATTTTGGAATAAATGGTGCGATGAGATCCAAGATGTAAAGGAAATAATTATCCCTTGATATTATTTTCAAAATTCTTTGCCCAGTCATGCAATCACAATTCAATTACACTGTTTTTCAGATGCATCTAAGAAAACTTATGGTACTGTTGCGTACTTACGCATAGAATTAAAGAGTGGAAATACCTGACAGGGTAGCTCTATTAAAAACCTTTCGATTCCTAGATTAGAGCTCATGGGTGCACTTTTGTCTTCAAGATTGAGCAATAAAATTGTAACTGCACTAAGTTTTCCAGTTACTCGATTTTTGGACAGATTCCTCAATAGCTTATTACTGGATCAAAGGTGATCCAAATAGACATAAGGTGTTCGTGAAGAAAAGACTAAAAGAAATACAAAAATACAGCACCCCAAAGGAATGGCATCATTGTATAGGAAAAAATAATCCCGCCGATTTGATTTCTAGGGGTTTATCCTTAAGCGAGCTTAAGACTAATCAGCTCTGGTGGCATGGAC